GCCTCGCTCAGCCAGTGAGCGGGAACCGGTCTGTATGTGGGATCCGAACCCTCGGCGGGAGCGCTGTCGCGCTTCCCAAGCAGCGCACTAGCGCAGTGCGCCACCGGGCCGGCCCACATATGCATTTTTTTGAGAAGTTCTCTAACTTTCGTAAGAATCTCAAAATAGTTTTTGAAAACACTGTTAATTCGAGGCTTTACCTTATCACCTTTGTATTTAATCCCCGTTCAGAGATTGTGTTGTAGGGTCAGCCCTAGGCCAGCAACAGGGAAACTGAGGCTAGTCCTGGCTCTACCCGTGCCTAGTATGGTAGCCTTGCGGAAATCCTTATGAGCTCTCTGGACCTGCTTCTGGACCCTCAGTTGGAAAAACTGAGATGCACTGCATGGTCTCTAAGACCCCTAAAGCTACCAAGACATCTCAAGACAGTTTCCCTGAGAAAGGTCCTAAAGAGCAAGAAGAGGGCTATTACTCTTGGTGCTTTTCCACTGGCTTTTCTTTCCTACAAAAGAAATATAGTATTCATCTTGGTTACAATCTATATCTAAGTGTTCACAATTATTCACTTAATAAATAATAATTGGGTGCTCACAATGTCTCAGTCACCAGTTATGGACTTTTCACTCAGTCCTCTAAGGTTTGGCCTTTACTGAATAGTTTACCCCAACACTGCACATATTTCTAGGAGGTAAGCTGGACAGTAAGAGTATCAAAAACTAAGAGAATGGCACACAGGACCAAAGAACAGTGGTTCATCATTAAGTGGGTAGAACAGGGGTCCAAGTGGAAACACAGTACTCTATCGATAGCAGGGATGATGGTGCAGGTGTCCAAGTGGAAACATAGTACTCTACTGATAGCTGGGATGATTTGGCTGATCCATCCTATTAGGTGGGAGTCCACTCGCTCCTTTGCTTCCAGAATTGCATGACCAGTTAAAAGAACAGCTTTCCTCCCCAGAGGAAAATCTTTATTTAAAGATATGTAAGTAGCCGCACTCCAGCTCAGAACCTCTGAACCAGCTCACACAGGAATAGAGAGCCATAAACACAGCAAGCAAACACAAATGCTTAAGAGAAGCCATATAATGAGTGATTTGGACCTGAGGATGATCTGACCATAATTCTCCACATGCTCAACGGTTTCGATGGAGGAAGTTAAGATTCTATGAAAGCTTTGAATTAGAGATGAAACACAAGACAAAGTGCTAAAGAGAAAAGACACATTCAGCACCTAAGAGGATGGAAAATATCATTTGATATTTCACCACTGTTCATCTCATCATTTCTTGATCCATTCACTTTCCTGTTAATGTTATTATTTTTTAACTTTTGTATTGATACTCAACCTTTCATATGTATATGACTTACCTCTTGAATTACTCGTCTTGTTGGACCCAATGCCAGTATAT